TAAGAAAGAGTCCCAGTCGGCTTGTCCAACAAAAAGCGTGGTGTTCTAGGTATAAACACACTCCTATTTCCTGTAATGCTTATGATAATAGGAAAATGATCGCTATTATATAGATAATTCTCGACATTAAAAAAACAAAAAAGGCAAAAGCTGTGGAGAAACAATAGCAAGGTCAATGGAATGGAAGGTCCTTGTTGGCTGATGAAAATAAGTGCTTTCTGTGTTGTTAAGGATACAGAGACAGTGGTCGTGGAGTAGCTGTTCAATTTGCTTACCTCGTGGGTTTGGTGTCTTTACTACCCCACAAGGGATTGTGTCCATTGAAATCACCGAGTAGAATAAACGGAGCTGGTGATTGGGCAAGTAGATCCTCTAAATCTCTTAAGTTAATGTTCTCATTAGGCGGGATGTAAATACTGCAGACAGTAGTCAGTGTTCGAATGCTCAACTGTACTGCAACTGCTTGGAGAGGAGTATCCAAAGGGAGAGCACTCGAAGGGCAATTAATTGAGGTGAGTAGACAGACACCACCACTTGCGAGTTCACTGAATGTCTTATCCTTTCTTGTCATCGAGTACCTACGTAGCTTTGCAAAATTTGAGGAATGTCTCTTGTATCGCTATACAAATAGGTCGATATTTATTAATAAGTTGCTTAAAGCCATCAATACCCTGATAGAAGCCCCGGCAGTTCCACGAAATGAGAGTAGCCATTAGGAATGTTTATTGCTTCGATGCTGTTTCTTTGTTTTGTGAGGTAGAACATTTTTCGAGAGATCTCCGCCTCCATCTGTTTCCATCTCAGATTCGATAAAGTCTGAAAAGGTCCCTTCAATAGAGCTTCGGCTTGAGCTTCTCTTTTCTGAGCTTTTGATTTTCTTTTTTGAACTCTGTTTCTTGTGTTTTTATTTCTCGACTTTCTATTGTCTGTTTGGGAGGAGGTAGAAGACTTTTTCTTTGTCATTTGTTTTTGGTTCAGGTATCTTCTTCTGTGTACTATGCGATGTTTGTGTACTTATTGACCGATATGATTTAGTGGCTTGTGCATAGGAGACATTTGCTTTTGACTGACCCGTGCTAAAAAGTTTCTTAGCTTCAGGATAGGAGATTTTTCTTGTAGTCTTAATATGCTGTATTTCTCTTCTTTTTCTCTTCTTTCTCTTCTTTGTATTTCTTTCTCTTTTTTTCTTTTTTCTCTTCTTTCTTCTGCAGTTTCGTGAGTATGCTGGATGATTGCCATGACAGTTTGCACATTTTGGATCAGCTACACAATCCTGACTTTCGTGACCTCCTGCAGAACAGCGAGCACATGCCAGGTTTCTCCGGCATGCGGCCTTCGCATGGCCAAACCGTTGACACTTGAAGCAGCGCAGTGGGTTCGGCACGTAAGGTCTGATGGGGCAATTTAGGTAACCTGCCTTAATGGCTTTCGGTAGCTCTGAAGAGGAGAAAGACAGAATAAGATGTTTTGTGTTGACGAGTTGCCCATCTCTACGGACTTTTATTCGGCGGACGCCACATACATTTTGCTCGGCGAGTTCTTTTGAAAGTTCATCCTCAGAGACTGATATCAAGTCTATTTCCGAAATGACACCTCTTGACGTGTTCAAAGACTTATGTGGGGATACAGTAATAGAATGTTCCCCCATTTTGGTCATTTTTTGGAGAGAGGAAGATTGTGCATCAGATGTAGTCTCGATGAGCAGAGATCCTGAACGGAGCTTTTTTTATGTGTTTTGGCTCGCCTACTGAGGGGCCGCAATATGCTTATGGATGAAGAATGGCGATAGATTTTCTAGCTCACCAGTGATAACTAAGAACTTTTGGATATTTGTTTGTGCTAATTAAGGTCGAAGTACAAATTCTTTCAGCAGCTCCAGAATTTTTCGTATCCACATGGTTAGGAGAAGAAGTTAAAGTATTCATATTGAAAAAGAGAGAAGGTTTCGGGCCCGACCGCCCGCCCCACCCACCATGGAGCCCAACAAGGGAAACACAGATCCCTGTGTTAGGGCTAGCCGGGCCTATACGCAAAACTGAAGCCCCCACAGTCGGCTTTCCCAAAAGCGGAGACTTCCGAGAGCTTATCCCCTAGCCACTGACCAATAGGACTAGTGGCCAGCCGATTGACACTAGCGGGGACAGCTAAGTGCCTCCCGTTTTAAGTAGAAGCAGATGCCAAAGCAGTGTGTTGGGGACAGTACCTCGCCCCTCAACTGCCAGGATCCTCCTTTCCCACCCTACGGGTCACCATGCACGGCAAACGCATAGGCGGTATTCTCACCATGGTGAGACAGAAACCAAGAGTAGTAGCTGCATCTCACAGTGAGCCCCAACCTCCAGTAGAGGAAACCACAAGGGAAAAAAATAGGAGAGAGAGCTAGACAAGAGGAGAGGAAAGAGGAGGAAAGGTCACTGGGGCCCCGGGAGTGATACCCGATCACCAAGACGGCAATCCCCCTGAGGGTTCTTCACCTGCTATGCTTTAGCTGAGCATGTTGGAACGGCCTTCACGCCTAGGGTGGCCCTACCAGGAGCTATGCTCCCGACGTACTTCGCCCGTTCCGCCCAGTGACACCCCCCGCCACGTTGAGGCAGCATAGCAGGACTTTGGGGGTGGGGCAAGTTGCTCAGAAACTTGTTTTTAATCCTCTGAATCTTCGTGTATAGGGAATTTTGAAGACTAATTGAGAGAGGTGACATTAACAATTGTTTCCATCATGTTTTATTACATAAATTTAAATCATGATTGTCAACTGCATATTGCTTTTTTACATACAGAGAACATTAGAAAATACATTTTTAACCGGATACTGAGCGCGAGATACAAAAAGTATTGGATAATGATAATACATTTTCCTTTGTTATAAAAATGACCAAATTTCTTTCAACTATGTTATTTATATTAAAAAATATGTTGCAATATTTCTGTTATTTATATTCAACATCACTAAAAACGCAATTAACGAATAACATTATTATAGGTCAATACTTAACAATACAAAAGGAGGCTGAAGAATTTCCGTGCACGTTATTTACATAGGTCCAGCTATGCATTTTTGCATATATTGCTGCTGTAACATGTAGTTGTACCCCTCCCTTTTGGTTGCAATCGGCCCCAGCAAAAGTATATATATATATCTTAATATTAATTTTAGTAGAAGAAATATTGATTATATTATCTCCTAATATTAATTTTAGCAGAAGTATCTAAAAAGAGTGAACCCATAGGTTGGAGATTTAATTCCGAAAATTGTTTTAAAGTAATTTGAATGTAAATTGTTAACAATGCTTCACGGGGACTTGAAGTAAATCATGAATAACAAAAATTTCAATTGGAAAAAGAAATTAAATTAAAAGCAAGTAATTAAATTAAAGCAAGTAATCATTGATCGGAAATTAGTTGACTTTTCAAGGGGAACGAACCAACTCCCGTTCAATGAACAATAATTAATAAATAAAGGTGTTTCGTCTTTTACTCAAGTAATAACGGTGATGCCAAACTGGCAATTTAAGTTAGGCCAAATATTCCCGTGAAGTGAAGGTATTTAGAACCGAAGTAGAGTACCAAAGAACTCATTCTTATTAAGCATTTTCGCTAATACAATTTTGAGTGAAAAAGCAATTTATGTAGTAAAACTGATAAAATACTTGAGTAATTGTCCCCCCGAGACCCTCGTTTTTATGCATTTTAATTCAAAACTATTTGTAAAAAATTAAAAATTGGTAATCTTAATTGGAATTATGAAATAGAACACAAATTGAAAAAACAATAGAAAATTAAGAAATATAATGCAATCTTTGCAAAACAAATCAAATAATAAAAATTGAAAATATATATACTATAATAAGAAAAGGGAATGTACATGAAGATATAAAAGGCCAGAAAAAGCATTAACTTACGTTCTTTCTAGTGAGATGTGTGCAGAGTGTTTTCTTCCGCGTCTTACTCAGAAGGGTTGTGTGTCCGAAATTCTTTATCGGCAGCGGGGGCTTTTAATTATTTCAGGCGGCGAAACTTGTGAGAAGCAATTTATGGGATAAAGGAGGGACTAGGAATACTTGAGGGCGTTTGTTGCGGTGTTATGTGAAACTCGGGTCGGCGAGCTCAGTTTTTTTATTCTTACATTTTGGTAAATTGTGCATTTTTGCTTTAAAAATGATTCAGTTATGTTGTTTTTGTATTAGTTTTTATGCCTTCATGAGTCTACATGCAATACTAGTAGAATTATCAATAATTTAAAAGTTGCGTTTAAGTGCGCCTAAGCCTAAGCTTACCAGCTTTGCAGAATAGAGAATTCAGTTTTTGCCGAATGGGACCAAAAGTAAACTCAGTTTTGTGCATCGAAAAATCTGTCTTTACACCCGCTGCCCGAATTGCTTGTTTGAGTATAAACTAATTTTAATTATAACAAAAAATGCTTTAATTGTATTTGGCATTTTATGCTTTTCTATATTTTTCAATTTTTAATGAAGATATTTTTATTTTTTATGTACTTTTAACTTGCCGCGATGTGAGAATTGAATTAACTGAATGAGAAATCTATCTCTAATGAAATTCGAGGAAATAAGTTTAAATGAAACGCAGCAAAAATGCGTATAATTTAATATGCCGTATGAGGAAGTCATGTGGTGTCCGCATCAAATTTTTTTTTACATTAATGCAGATTTTTTTAAACTAAATATTTCAATGCAGATGTTAAAATATTTGGAAAATTCGTAGCTTTTTGACACAATTATTTAGCAGTAAATATACATTTTATTTATTAAATTGATAGACAAGTTTTGAAGCTCAATTTCACGAGTGATGCGATGTTTTATTTTATTACAGACATTTTTATCCATATTAAAAAGAAGCTAACATTTTTATTCGTACGCAGTTCATCTTTACTAATCCAACGTATTTCTGATAACATTTCAATAATCAAAGACATTTAAAAAATAATTTAAACAATGATACCGTTGAAAGAATGAAAGGAAAACAAAGTAAGTAGTACATACCTGCGGTATTGCAAAACTTCCTCACAAATCCCGGTGACGCGAATTTCTTACGAATGGTCAAATCAGCCAGATAACCAACTGTACATCCCACTATGGTTTGGAGCAAATAAGGAAACGAGGACAGGAATCCATTCTGAAATAAGAAAGCACTTGCGAATTAAATTCAGTATAAAATATAATGAATAGGAAAAAAGTATTTTGTTATAATATACTGATCATAACTGCTATGAAAAAAGGTCAAACTTTGTCAAATATCTTTAAATTTAATATTTCAATCTAGAAATATATTTAAACTCATTCATCACAGTTTTACAAAATGAAATACTACCGAGACAAAGGAGGAAAAAAAGAGAAATAATTTTAATGTTCATTTAAAACATTTTTCTAACTTAATTCTTTTATTTAACCAATTTAAATTTCCTGTTTCAGGTCACCCTATAAAAATTAACTATGAATAAAATTCGTTCAAGAGTTGCTATTGACCATTTGGTTCAGTTTTCAAACTTTATAATACGAAATACTGAAGAGATTACAAGATAATACACTCAGGGCAAAATATCTTTCAAAGTTTCTTTAACTTTCTAAATTCGTGTGGCAAATCGCACACGTTTTACCTTTTCTATTTAAAAGAAAGTTAAATACATAATAATAACAAAAAAGAATTCTCCTGTAATGCCCCCATATTAATTTTAAAAATGTTATAGTAGTATTAAACAAAAATTCAGCACTTGGTGTAAATAATGGCATACATTTTTCAGTTTTCCTTTTTCCAGTTTCTTTCTCAGTTTATCATATCAACATTCAGTTTCCTTACCCAAGATTTTACGAAACTTTTTTTGTATTTTTATTATTAATGTTTTTTGTGTTTACTTTATTAATTACATATCAAGTTCTCCGCGCTTACGCCACATAAATTTCGATTCAACAGTCTCAAAATATTTAAAAACAGCATATCTTTAGAATTCCCGACAGACAGTTTTGCGTGCTGGAGACTAAAATGTTTTGTTCCGTACAATGTTGCCACTGCCGGCTTTGAAATCATTGTTACTAAGACATACGTCAACGTTTTCCAAAATATGAAACAGATAATAAAACAAATTCGAAATTTAAAATTCAGGCTTCCAGCTGCCTGTGTTCGGGTGGAGAACTACGTTATTCAAAATTTGATGGCTCTAGGTACCGTCGATTTTCACAGTCCTAGAAACATGCATACATTCATACAGATTCATCACTTAGTTTCTTTAAATATATTACGGGGCGACAATGTTGGTGGCAACAATTTGAAAAGTTATGCGCCGTTTATAGTGATTCAACGCAAAATGCCGTTTAGAGACTAATATCTCATTCGGAACTAACATCGCTTTTGGGATAACAAGTAATTTTGTAAAACTACTTACCGTTTCTATTTTAAAATGTAAAACAGTGGCAAAGAAAGTTGGTAGATCGTTAACAATTGTGTAAAAGCACCAGTCTTGCCCTATTTGGGTGATAATCAGTGCCCAGAAAGGAACAGAAGTCGCAATTTTCATCCAGGGAATCTGAGGTAACTGTAAAAATAAATAAAAATTAGTTAAAAGTTTTCTTCTGACAAATGTAAACAACGTTATGTAATAGTTTTAAATAAAAAAACTGCATGTCTGATGCTTTTGTATTAGGCAGATGAAAGTAAACAGATAAGACAATTACAGATAAGTGTTTTACAAATGGTACTTAATATAAATATTTCGAAGTTTCTTCTGTCAGTTAATTGAACGGTATAAATATGTGTAAAATAATTCTCATAAACTATCATTAGCTAATTTTTATTCTCCTAACTAATTAACCATTTTAGTTAGCTATCATTTCTTACTTACTCGCCAGAAGCGCATAAAATAATATAAAGAAGAGAGCATGAATGACTGATCCATTAATGCAAAGCAAACGAGATTGAGAGTCACTGGATTATTGTTGCAAAGCATATGAAAGCTATCTGCCTGTGAGGAGGGATGCCTTTGTAGAGAACTGTAAGAGAACTGGCTCGTATCCATGTTAAACATGGGGAAAACGACGAAAACCAAGCACGCAGTCAGCTTGTGCGCCAAGTATATGCGCATATTTTGTTCGTGTCGTGTTATAGGATATTAATATAATTTTATTTCTCTATACAAAGAGTATGCTAACTTTGTATAATTTCCAGAGATATGAAAATCGAACATTCAGTCTAGAGCGTCAGGTTCTTATAATACAGTAAATAATTATGTGAATTGTTCTAGCACAGATGTTTTAATTCTTGTCCGTACTCTGCCAAAATACTTTAGACTTATACAACAGAAGTGTCAGATAGAACAGTCTGTTCATGAAGAAATCGAAGAATTTTATTAGTTGATTTAGGGCACTGAGGGGTAATATTATTGTGATCTTTTATTTAAATATCATCCAAGAGTAGTTATTTTTTATAAATAAAGAGCGATTTTAAAATGAGGTTTCGCAGTTTTTTTCCATGTGTAAAGTGAATACGAGCCAGTTTTCCTTAAAACGTCCTCCATGAATGCAGATAGCCCTTATATGCTTTGGCTAATCCAAATAATGTTATAAAACCCCGATTTCATGCGTTTCATCCCAGAATTCTAATACAAGCCACGTAGGCGTGGCAGTCATCCACAGCTTCCACAATGGCAGGGAAATTCAGTGTTTGACATAAACGGAAGCGAATGAAATACAGCCCAAAGGATTTTCCTTTTTAGACGATAAATCATGCATCTCAAACCAAAGGCATGGGATCTCAATAATTTTCACATTATCCTAAATTCGAGAACTCGAACCTACGCACACTTCTGATCATCCAAAATGCTTAAACCATGAAAGAAATGTGCAAACTGAATTTGCATTTTCACCAACCGCAGACCTTTAGAAGACATGCAAATAAACAGCATTGAAGGGCACATATAAATCCTATGTACCAGTAAAGTCACCTAGAGGAACTGTAAAAAGGATAATGGTAAGTTGTATTCAGTCCTGCAATTGTGTGCTTTCCTGCTCTTCCTTAACTTGGGAAGTTTCAATAAACCCCGTCGGAAAATACTAGTCATTCCAAGAAGTTTCCAGGTTTATGAAAAGGAGAATTGTGGATTATAGAGACTGCGTATTTTCCTTCTGATAAATCGGTACTCGTATTTTACGAAGTTAAGCCAAGTTGACGCGACTGTAGAATCGGAAAAAGGAGAGATTGGATCGACCGATGAAAGCGATTACATCAACTTTATTACACTACCAAACAAGGAGACTGGCAATGATGTATCATGTAGCTACATCAAGAACCTTGACGTAAGAAGGCTTGCTGTACAACTTGCGTCATCACATTATTTGACTCTTCAGCAGAGGAGGATACTCTTTGCAATGAGATCCATTGTTGTGATTATCATTGATTACAATGGTGCGTTGAACGTTGATCGTGGGTAAATAGCATGACATTGTGTCTTTTAACGAACCTCAACTCTGCCTACAGTACCATGATGATATCCGATTCTGGTGGTACAGCCCATTGAACACGTATTATGGATGGTTGACAAGCGAGTGGCCCAACAAACATCACTCTAGGCTATACCACATTAATTTTAGGAAAGATGCGGAAAGAAAAAAAATGCACTCATATACCCATCCTCAACATCCAGAGACTCTTTCTATTCAGTGCTGAAGTATGTCATTGCACTTAGTACCAGCTGCACAATTCTTCGTGTTCGCAAGTCGAAATGGACTGTAATTTTAATCAATCACTCCTTATAGCTTATATAATTTATTTAGTAAATATGGTTGTGATATTGCTTCTTCATGATGTTACATTTTGGATTATCAGCAGCGTAGTAATTAAATTCAAATACAATTTAATTTATCGAAATTACATGAATTATACGATTTTATTTGACATTTATTGGTGCTAACTGAATTGATACTTTTGATGCTTATTGAAATCTATAGAATGTAAGAGAAGTATTTGTATTTTTATAATAAATTCTAATATTAAGCTCATTGTTAAAGTTAACACAAGAAGTAATTTGATGATCCACTTGTTTTTAATTACAACTAATGATCTTAAAAATAAAATATCTCACCTCTACATTTTGTTCTATCCTTTGATTGAGGGTAATGTACTTTAACTCCTTCTTCGTTATCCAGGGATGAGAAGATGGATTGTCGGTCACAAGAAGGGCCCAGAATATAAACCACACACAGCCAAAAATACCTAGAAATATGAGTATTTCTTATTTATATTGGCAATAAAAAACTTGAAATACATTAAAAAATGAAGATATAATCACTATTTTACTAGCTCCGAGTTCAAAGCAGATAATAGTAATTAATTACATTAAAATCATTCTAATTATTATTGCACACATTTTGTTATACAAGTGAAAGATTTCTAATCCCCTCTAATTTGGTGGTGCTGATCACATTACAAGATCGAATGAATGGCTTTCGCTTCGATGAAAGAAAAGTGGGTATTTATCACAGTCTGACTAAGCTAGGGAAAAGCTGACAACGTAACCAAGCGCTTGCGCTCAAACTTTGTTATATTACCGATTTCAATTAATATAAAAATAATATAAAAATAAAGTGCACAGGTACTATATTTTTATAAGCAGAGCTGAAAATACCAGTCCTTATGGTATGGAAACTACAGCAGACATAAAAAAAAGGTTTCGAATTTAGTGTTCTCGGATCTGCCGTTAGCCAGACGCGCAATTTCACACAGGCCTCGATGTGCAAATAGCAGAGCTTCTATAATGTTTCAGACTTAGATATATAGTATAATGATAGTAATAAAGAGATACAGAGCAGATCTCTACATCTCAAAGATCCGCACTTTTCCCAGCATTAATTGCCAGTAAATCATAAAACTAAGACAGGCTAAATTCAGTGACACAAGAACTTCTAAAGCAAATGTAAATGATTGACTTCATGGCTGCTACAAGTGGAATCACCTGACAGATGATATAAAAGCAGCAGCTCTTAGCTGCAGACAGAGTTTCCGCCATTTTTTCATACAAAACAGGACTTGACTGTGTACCATGACATCAAAGATCTTTGTGAAATATTATGAATTAAAAATATTTTTTTAGCATAGAATATTTTTAACAGATCTTACTTTTGTTTGAAGATGTAGTTTCAAAATAAAGATTATACTTTATTAAAATTTAATGTTATTTCATATTTAAAGTGGTTAAATGAAAGTATATTAACCATCATACGAACACATTACATTCAAAAATCCCAAAATTAAGTAGCACTTTTGTAATTGATGTGGACAACAAATACTTCGTCGATGTCGATTCATTATGAATAACATCGCCCAAAACTTTAAATCGTATAATTATGTCAAATAGGAAACATTTGTATGGAAAGCAGGTACAGAAATTTATATATGCTATATACCTAAAATACTCTTCTAACACGAATTTTTCAAAAGCATGCTGAAATATTCTTTAAGAACTAAAACTCACCAACCATATAGAATGCAGATGGCCAACCACCTAAGAACTCTGTGTTACACAGATATCCCGAAAGAGGCATAGTCACAACAGTACCAATACAGATGCCGCAGTAGACGACCGTGGATAGGAAAGCCTTTTCACAATCAGGCACCCAACGCCCCAGCATAGAATGCATAGCTGGCATCGTTACACCCTGCAAAAATAATAAGGATATTCTTTCTAAGATTATTATTATTATTATCTTTATTACTGTTTCTGGATATTTCTTACATATTCAGTTAATTAGAAATGTACAGGGAACTTATTACAAAACTATAGGAAAATTAATATCAGGAAGCTAGAAAAACAATATCTATAGTAACAAATATATTAGTCAATATTATGAAAAATCATTCACTCAAAATTTAATAGACAGAATTTAAAGATTGGTTTAGTTGATTATGGCAAAGCACACTAGGGCTATCTGCCCAAGAGGAGGGATGCCTTCGTTGGAAGACGTCCTAAGGGTGGCTCGTATATACGTTACACATGAGATAAATCCCGAAAACAGCCATGCAGCGGACCCCTTCGCCTGGAATCGAACTCAGGTCGGAACTACCGGTGTTCAGCGATTTTACCGCTTGACCACTAGTGGATCAACAGACTTGATCGAATGATTAAGTACACCAGTTACGATAAATATCGAAATTAAATGCAAATCGGAATTATCCGTTGCTTTTTTTTTCGCAGTTTACACCACCTTTTATTTATTCTTCGATGAATCTTAAATACATTCCGTGTTTTTGATGAAACTGAACCTGTGTCTGTGATAAAAGAAAAAAAATCTGATGTGTACACCACATGACTTCCTTCTATTGGAATATTGAATTGGAATATTAAATTATACGCATTTTTCCTGCATTTCATTTAAACTTATTGGATTGAATTAAATCTACTTCGCCGACAGCGCATAAGCCACAATAGAATAAATGCATTCTTTAAAATTCACTCTAGTATTTACCATAGCGACACTCTGGCGCTAGATTCACTTAACAGTATTAATAATTATATAACAGTTAACTTATATAATTATATAACGGAAACTAAGTTAACGTATATATTTCGTTCTATTATAACTCATAATGCACAAAATTTATATCATTTAAAGAATAGAATTATCTAATCGTTGCCACATGTTCTATTCAAATACTATAATAAAGCTAGAATGATGTATAAAAGAAATTAAGCAAACAAAACAAAAAACAAACAGTTTTTCACAGACGATTGAGTATTTCTCATTTAATTCAGTTCTCACTTCGCGAGAAGGCAAAAATAAAATCAAAATATCTATATTAAAAATTACGAAGTAAATCTCAAACACTTATTTCCTCGAAAAAAAGTTCCAGAAAGAATTAAGCATGATTTAATTGGCAATAATAAATGAAGGCGTTATCTTTGTTGTTGCGAAGCTAAGTTTCTCTAGATTGGCAACAAATCCACTAGTCTCCTGTTTCAAATGTAAACATCAATGGCCGCCATTAAAAACAGGCTTAGCGGCAATTAAACAACTTTAAAATTGCTGATAATTCTAAAAATATTGCACACAGATTTACTAAAGGCATAAAAACCTTAACCGGAAGATAAAAACATCATAATTCAATCATTTTTAAAGCAAAAAATGTACAATTTACAAACATGTAAGAGTAAAGAAACTGAGATTACTGAGCCGGGTAACATAGTAGATATATATGTATATATATTTATATACGTTTGGTGCAGCCGATTGCAACCAAAATACGAGGTGCACATCTACATGTTATAGCAGTCCTATATACAAAATTTCAATGTTCTGAGGCTACTCGTTTTAGAGTTATGCGAGGCACTTACGTACATACGTTCGTACAGACGCACGTTCGTACAGACGCCACGAAAAATTCTTTTCAGAATTAATTTTAAAGCAGTTTTATAATTTTTTTGAAGGAAAAGTATTTTATTCTGTCCTTACGTACAGATATCACGCAAAAACATCGTTAAATTGCATTCGATAGCGGTCAAAATGGATATTTTCGTGAAATATGCTGCCTGAAACTTTTCGCGATTACAATACTTCCTTTTTACTTCGTACAAAAGAAGTAAAAATATCAGTTACCAAACTGAAAGAACGGGAGTACCAGATCAACTAATTATGAAATTATAACTCGAAAAGGTATTTTTTAAAGGATAACGCAAATAGAAAAACAGAAGCGGGGTGGGGAACTATAGAAATCATAATTGCATGAAAATAAAACTTTCACAAATGTTTGTTGTCTTACATTTTAAAACAACACATTTTATTCACCAAAAAATTTTAATCATTTTATGCTCTTGAATGTCCCTTGTGTATGTAATGCTAGCAGCATCAACTGAACTTTATATATAAAAAGATTCATAAAGAATAGTTTAAATAAAGAGTCAGCCGCTTTAAATGAAATAGGTTTGGAAGATTTCCTAACGATAATTTGTTGAAAAAACCTTTCGTGAAACGATACTTTTAATTTGGTAATGTCAAATTTCACCATAATATATTGGTTTAAGAGTTTCTGAAGTTATAATTTGTTCAAAAACTTTAAAATGACATACGAAAATAGATATTAAAACATATGTTAATAATATGTGACTATATATAAACCTTGGCGCAACTTGGCGATTTTTTTCAGATGAAAAAGGTAATTTTTTTTTTTTTTTTTTTAAATCGGGTGTAAGTTGGTGATTAACGCGCCTTTTTTCAGAAAGATTCCTAAACTATCGATATTTAAACGTAAATCCGTAAACATTATCAACATATGAAAAGAAAACACACTTTAGCAATACTTTTAACTAATTTTAGCAATTTGACTGATAAAATAAAGATTACGTGATACATTAAAAATAAAACGCATTCTTCTTAATTCTTCCTGTAACTTTTTGCGCTATTCTTCTGCAGAATTACACAGCGATCTGTTTTCGCTTGAAAAAACATCAAAGAATTGCGGTGGCCCGACTTGTGAAACCCTTGGCAGCAGCGGCTATCTAGGAAACACATTTCGTCGTTGAAAAAGTAACTAATAAGCTGAGACAACTTTCAGCAAAATTCTGTATTCCTGCAGAAATTTAACCGCAGTTTCTTTCCTTGCTAGCGAATTCCACACGCTCATATTTTAAAAGTAAACTTAAAGCAAAAATACCAAGATTTGTTTATAAAAACCGTTTGAACTTCGGAAAACAACGAAAAAAAAAAGGCAAACGAAAATGGCGGCGTTTCTTGACTGAAACGATTGTTATGAGCATGGCTACCAGAATTTGATGATTTTCTACTAAGGTGGTTGCGTTAATACGCAAATGACTTTTTCTAAAATTTAATTACTTTTTATTTTAAATTTGGTCTAAAATTTCTCATTTTAAAATCGACTTGTAAACCAAACCTAAAATTTACGAAATTTTTACGAACTTGGCTGTCAAAAAAGGAGAAAAAATTGCATCCTTATTAAAAAAGAAAAGTAACTTGCGGTAAGTATTTTAATTGCATATAAATGCACACATATGCACTATTAATGAGAAAAAGAGAAGACAAAGAGAACAAAGGAATTTGAACATCAGGAGTTTGCACATTCTAAGCAGTTTACTGTTGTTCAATTAAACTAGAGATGGGCAAAAGCTGGCCTGTGGGCCGAATGTGACCTTTCTAATTGCTTAATTCGGCCCAATATGAGAAACTGTGAAGAGACATTTTCACCTCTTTTCTACTCGATTTTGTACAGAAACTACCGAAATCAGCAGCTGGAGTACGCATCTACATCTTGTTACATGGTATATGTTCAGGCATACACATAACATACATTCATATACGAGTATTCTCGTACATTACAGCTCCAATTATCCAAATTGCCTTCAGAATTTTTTAGAATCAACTGAAGAAGAGAATGAAAAGGAAAAGAGGCTTCAAGAAAAAGAAAGGGAAGAGACAGGAGAAGATGAGGACGACGTGTCACTTGAGGAATTATAAAATTCTTTTGGAAATTCCTGGATGTTCAGAAGTTAGGGCTGAGGATGCAGCAGAATGGATGGTGTGTGTTTTGTCGTCAGACCCTGGGTTTCAAATTCTAAATGATGATGCACTTATTGAAAGTGTGAGAGAAGAAAGTGTAGAGGAAGAAGATCTTAATTTTGAAGTTGAAGCAGACATGGGACATCAGCTAGTGAAAGGTTTGCCGGTCTTGAAATTGCGTTGAAGTGGCTGGAGCGTCAGCCTGAGTGTGACTACATGCAACTTCCCACTGTCAAGCGGATGCGTGACTTGGCTGCTCGAAAACGGATGAAGCCGGTCAAACAGCTTACTTTGAACGAGATGTTCAACAAGCAATGCCTTTCAGCACTTGTACGTACTGTACAGTACGGTATATAGCATGTTCGTAGAAGTGTTACCTCTTCATTTTAATTAAAATCTCATTTTCTTTAAAATTAATTCCCCCCCCTCCATATTTTCAACATACAGTAATTAAAAGGCACGTTAGACCTTTTCTACGAAAAAAATCCAATTATCTGAATGGGGTCCTGTCCCAATTGATTCGGATAATTGGAGTTCTACTGCATATACTAATGATCAACCAAAATTGAGAACGCTAGATATGCTAGAAAGCCTGTGTATTCACCGAAGAATATAGTCTTATCATTTCTGCTGCTTTTCATTTAGAAATGAAATACGTTTATTGTTGAGGACAACTGTTCAGAAAAAGGAGCTAAAGGAAAGAGAATTTCATTTTATTTGAAAATGAAACAAACACATGTCAATTATTCGATAATCTAAGGGAATAGATTGTTTTTGGCATCATTTGTAATTTTTTAAAAAATTTGTATTGGAAGAGAGGTTTTTCCCTTCCCTCATCGCATTTTGCAAACAATAGGGGCATTGAAAAAAATCGTCACTGTCCTGCCAGCATTATGCATTAAAAAGACCTTTTTGCACCAAGGTTCAACTTAATAACCAGCTAAAGATACACTATTTCAGAATCTCTACAGTAATCGAATTAATAACAATTCAAAAAGTTCACAATATCAAAGTTACAATTCTTGCGAAGAAACGTTTTCATCTTATTGAGACAAATTAAAGTATAATCTCACGGGCGAAAAAAAGGGAAAGCCTCCCTCGCCTTAGGCAGATAGCCCTCGTGTGCTTTGCCATAACTCAACACACACACACACCAAAATCTATTAAAAATTATACTTTAAGAGGTTAAGATTTATCAGTCGAATGTCATTAATGGGGAAACAAGGCGTGGAAATTACATCTTCAGAGAAAGTCTTTAATAACGACAGATACTTTGTATAAATTTAAGAAAATAATACCGATTCCCTCTGCAAATTGCAGATTCAAATGACGTTTCTGCAAAATAATTTCACGAAGGAAGTGGCGACATCTATCGATAAAATTAAAAGTTAGCGCTTTACAATTCGATGACGGAAACGTTTACTTCAATTTCATTTCTGTTACAAACTACCACATACTATTAAATTTTTTCATGACAAATATTTATATGCTGCAAAGTCAAGATGAATTCTAATTTTCAGTACGCAAATTGCTATACATGCAATAAATAAAATGAGCAAAACCATTCAGAAGTGTGAATCTTATCCATCCTAAGATGCTGGGTCTGATTACCGTCTAGGATCACAAGGTAGACCTAGTTTTCTAGATTTTAGGAGACTCCGGAATTATTTTAGTAATTCCACATAACCTCGTCTTCGAGAAAATTGGAAAAGTGGGTAATGGTGGCCGCTGAACTGTAATTTTTTTTAAAATCAAAAATTACTGTCTGTTTGGAGATGCAGTTTGTATTTTCATTTGGAATAAAACTCATTTAAATTATCCGACATTCCGAATTCTTGTTTGGTATTTTTGTTTTTTTTTTTAAAAAGGAATAATATTTTTAGGCTAATTCTCCTAATATTGTCGTAATAGTATTTATACAACTGGGCGGAGGGAAAGAAATATTATGAAATGCAAAGAAAATATTTCACCAACTTTCATTCTGAACTTCTATTACGGTTTTAAAATGGACACTTATCAAATTCTGCATCAGAAACTCGTCATTTTCTGCTATTAACAGTTTAAATAGCACTCACTTATCTAATATAAATACACATAAATTAAAAATATTAATTTCTTAATTTTAAATGTTTCGATATTTCTTATATATTAAAATCTTGTCATTAATGGACGAATTTTTTTACTTGCTATTTATATCGAGCTTTAAGTAGAATTCTAAGTGTTTATTTCTGGGGAAATTTTGGTGTAAATCTCCTTAACCACAGCTTTTAATCACTTAAAATCCTTTACAACAGCTTTTAATTACTAAAAGTCTTTTAACTCTCTTCAGCTTCATCTCAGAAAACTCAACTGTAATCAAACTTTAACATAATGTTTTCACTCAAGATAATTCATCCGCGCTAAGAGTTTTTTTTTATCTCACTGCATACAATTTCAATACGAGAAATAAACTCAAAATATACTTTTAAATTCACTCACCTGCGATAACCCTTCCAGCGTCCGTATAACGATTAACAAGGCCACGTGACAACGAGCCGCTATGGGCGTTAGGAGAGTAAGTAAAGCTGTAATACCAGTACCGATGCCAAAGATCCATTTGGCACTAAATATTTCAGCCATTCTTCCACCAGGTATTTGGGAAATGCAGTAGCCATAATAAAACGATCCGAGGATGACAGCTTGCAAATGCGTAGACCAAATGAATTCACCTTCCTGGAGAAAGAAATTAAATTCTTTCAATTAAATTTGAAAGAAGACTCGTAACACTTTACATACTTAAATACAAATCATTGAAAATGCGTTACGCTGTGTACACTTTAATATAAATCACTTCTTTTCTTCTTTCAGTAAATAATGGGACCCTTAAGTCTATTATAGAAACAAATAACTGGCTTTCAGAATACCTGAACAGTTGCCCCCACGAAAAACTAAGTAAACCTCATAAAGCTGTGATCTGCCAACGCTCGACTTTAATTTATGGGATGGCTTGCAAGTCAAGAACAACGGGTTCCATTTCAGAGGCACAAACCTTCTTATTTTATTGGCCCAAAGGAGCGTTAGGTCAGAAGAGCAATTAATTTCGTTTTAGCATTTTGCATCGATTTACTATACGCGGCGAATCATTTTTGAAATTGTTGCCACCAAATATTATCGCCCCGTATCATATTTAAAGAAATTAAATAATGAAGAATCTGCATAAATGTATGCGTGTGTCTCGCACTGTGATAAAACAACGGTACCCAGAGCCATCCAATTTTGAATAACGTACGTTTTCACTCGAATATGGGCACCGGAAGCCCGAATTTGTAATTTGTTTAATTATCTATTTCATATTTTGTAAAGCATTCATGAGTTTTTGATTAAGAAACTCAACGATTTCAAAGCGATCAATGGCAACACATACGGGGGGGGGAACTTATCTACAGCGCGCGAGACTGTATCGGAAATTCTAAAGATAGGTTTGTTCTTTTAAATATTTTGCGATATTGCTGTTAGATTGACTTTTATGGTTTAAATGCAAAGAAAATGTTTAATAAATGAAGGTAACACGCAAAACGTTAGAAAACGCCCCTTTGGGCGTAATATAAAATCTGAATGCTTTTTGATTTTTTTTGTTTCCTCTTTTTATTTATTTTTATTTTTTGCGGTTTTAAATTCTGGCGCTTTTTGCTTGCAAAGTCTATAGCGTTCCGTTGTTAATTGCCCTCAATCTGTAGTCTCGGTGTTAGTCCAAGAACTTATCGGTTTTCGTAAGCAGAGATCCATTGTCAGTCCTGCCATCATCAAACGTGTCACTGGAGCGACAGTTTCGAATGAAGCTGGGTGCTGCTAACAAGCCTGCTCATTTCGAGCAACTTGTGTAAAAAACTTTTAAGACGGGACTTATAGGGGACTTAATTACTAAATAGATTTTAATTAGAAAAGTCATCTTGATTAGAAAAATTAAATGCATATATTATCAAGACATTTACAATTACTTCATTATACCTTAATGGTATATGCCATAGTAGTTTAATGAAACCTTTGAAGATTTCAATGGGATTACATAATTCTTTTCTGAAAAGAAAAAAAAATCTTGCCTAAAAATAATAGTGCAAGTCGTACAACGTAGGTTCAAGTAGTTGAGACTCAAGAACTTTAATCTGCAAATCAAAACCTTGCAAGAGTGATGAAGCTGAAACTTTCAGAGCTGTCCGAAGATTGATTTTCCATGTGAATTCCTACAGCATCAGTTTCTCTCTGATCTGACATTTCTTCTAATTAGAGAATGTTTTTATACGTCAACAACTGTAAAGTATTCAAACAACTACTTATGTATTTATCTTTCTGAATAAAATATTTAGATAGAAGATTTACTAGTAATTGATATATAAAAAACCGGTATAAATAAACTGGACTGACATTAAACTGATGTAAATTTAACTCAACTTATAAGTAGTTATCGCATTCTTCCGTGCATGGGTTTATAATGCGAGTGGTTAGCACATCCAACCGGTACTACAAGATCTGTGGTTTAAATCTCTGTGAAAGAACAGCTGATTTTCCCAGTTTTCTGGCTCCAAAAATCTTAACAGTGTTAGAGTGGCACAGAATTTAAAATTATTGTTGACGATAATTCCTCACCAGTTAGATTTGGTCGACTGGAACTCGTGCTTCTTACTAGTTACCTTTTATGGGGGAAGAGTTTTTAACAAATGCTGCATTCTGCCCGTGCATGCTCCTGTGGTGTAAGTGAAGTAATAGAGTAAGAGATCTCTCCATTTATAATCTCAATAAAAAGTGTTATTAACAAAGACACATCACACTTTGTCATAATCAACTTAACAATTTCCAACTAAAATAAAAAATCAACTTCCCATAAAAATATGAGTCCTATAAGGCCATTACTGATACTTATGACTTTCCTGGATATTGGAAGGGTTGCTGTAAGGTTCATTATGAACACTGACGGGGGGAGGAGGAAGCAGTTCTATATCTCCCGTTCTACCGGGCCGATTGATGAAATTCCACTTGCGTTTTTCACGTCTCGAAATGGAAAAATATGGAAAAAATTGGTATGTTATTTCAGAAAAAGTTCGATATTGTGTCAAAATACCTATATTAGAACAATGCTATACATAAATCTAATACATATCCTAATTCGCGCTTTCGAGACATGAAAAGCGCAAGTGGAATTTCGTCAATGGGCCCAGTAGAACGGGAGATATAGAACTGTCTCCCCTTTTTTTCTGCGCAGTGTGCATACAGGCAACTGTAGAAGATCTGAGGTTCGAATCCCGATTAGGATACAATTAATTTCTAGAATTTCTCGGCTTCAAAAGACCGGCACGAACTGAAAAATGCTAATAAAAAATTAGCTGATTTGCGCTGGTTAGAAAAAATTAAAACATCATTTCAGTAAAATAAATTACTTTGGAAATTATGGAATGTAGGAAAAAACCGATTCTTATAATCTGATTAATGTGACAACAAGTAAACACCAAACTGATGAAATTACTTGAAGTAAGGCTGTTTGAAAACAATGAAATATCACAAATAACAATTACGTGTACTATCATCTATTATTTTTTCTGAATAAAAGTTAGTTTTAATCATTAAACTATTTAGCACTCACCTTGGGGAGATCATATGACGAGTGATTAGCAATGAGAGGCGGTGGGGTGACGTTACATTCTTCCGATCTGGTTTCGTTATCATTTTTGTAGATAGCCGAATCGTTCACCATGGCTACAATTGCAACATTGATATTTACTCTAATGGCATATATTGTGCAGAATCCTAGAAAGCCCATGAATGCGAACAGATAGCGAATTCCAGGCAGTTCTACGAATATGAAGAATAATTTTGTAAGCGTTTATCTACAGACGAACATATTACAAATATTTAAGTACTCACAAAAATGAGTATATAGAATATAGCTGAATATAAATATGTATGTAAGATAAAACTAATTTGTAACAGCCCTTTTAAAGCCTTTTTAATTCACTTTCCTTTTTTGTTCTAAAATTTGCAAAATACTTATAATAATTCTATCTGAAGCATAGTTTCAAAATTAATCCTTGTCATGAATTTTATACAATGCGAACGACATGACGGTAGAAGTGATATTTAGGTTTAACTAATATCATTCTAACAGAAATTTTCATAAACCAATAGTAATAAGATGACACTAACAAAATATGCGTGTATCATTAGTGAACTTGCTATTCTCTTGAGAATTAGGATTGAAATTACTGAATGCATCATTATGTTTTTATGCTACGAATTCTGCCTAAATAAAGATATCTATTAAAATTATAATTGTATACAATAGAGACTTTATGGCGTAAAACATCAACTGTATCAGCAACATATTATCCTCTTCATATAAGTCAAATATAAACTACGACTGCTTATCGAAGAGAACGGCTAAATTTTATATTACATATACATATACTTGTAGAGAGAAGCTACTTCAAAATATTTTAAAATGCAATTAGCCAGATTTTAAAAAACATCATTTATGCATTATGTCCACATTATATGTTTAGATCCCTATCTCGGGAAAAAATAAACCAAAAGTTTTATAAACAACCTAAAAAATTGCATGAAAGTTCTGCCAAAATTATTTCAAAATGTAAAAACAAGTTCTTGAAGCCGTCCGTTCTTATGCTGTTCTCTTGCGAATTTTCTATGCATGTTTTTATGGGTTCGCATATATACATATTTGTGTATATATATATATATATATATTGTCACATGCTAATGGCTCATAACAGTATCTTAAATACGCAGCTCAAGTGAAAAGGAAAATGCGAAAGCTTATTGTACCTTCAAGAGATGGCCATTTTTCTTTTGTAAGAAACAGCTAAAAAGGTATCAAGGAGTTTAGAAGCATGTTATACTTTGCCTTAGCGCAGGAAAGAATATCACCATTTTGATCCTAAATTTGAAGATCACCGTGGCATAAAATCTACCATTTACCAAGCTACAAGAATGCATTAGAATTGCTAAATCGCTCACAGAGCAAATACTTAAGTCGCTGAGTAGTAATTTGAACAGTACTTCAGTATGCATACAAGCTAAATTAAACTGTCAACTAGATTTTGCTTTGATCGTCATTCGTTGCAGCCTACTTATGTTAAACTTGAGGTAAAAAAAAAAAAAAAAAAAAAAAAAAAAAAAAAAGGAGGAATGAGGATTTAATTTATTTAATGCAAATGGAAAGCAGATGATACAGAAAGTAGCAACTGGTCTATTTATTGTATACGAGATGACAACTGGCCGAGTTTGCAGCGAGTCCAAAAGGCTTGAAGTTTATGCATAGTCTAGAATGAAAACAAGTTATTATAAAACAGATGGTAAACTTTTAAATAGTTCCTAAAAGCATTTATAGATGCGATTTGTGATCATTTTATAGAATGTCTTTCAGTTGAGAAGATTACACGAGTTTAAACTTATGTATTATATGAACAAAGGTTAATATTACAGATACTGAAAAGATATTCTTCTTTTAGACTTCTGACGGATATATTCGCTATTATTATTACGATGCTGATGAGGCAACACGAACACAGATACCTTTGTTGCCATGGGTTTTTCTTCCAATGTAAACGGAATATGAATTTGTTTCTTGCATCTAGTCATTCATTATTTCATTATGCAAATCTGCGGCAGCTACAGTGTCAAGTTCACAAACCTATTAATTGCAGGGCAGATGGGAAAGTTCTAAGTGCAATAAATTAAATTTCGATGAAATTCAACCTCTAGCGTCTTCAGAATTGGTGCTGTTTATGTGATTTCTTTAAAAGTGCGAAGTTCTTTTCTGAATAACGCATTATAGAGGGATTACTTAAAAGTCATTCGTTTTCCTATAGAGTGTTATATTAAGTTCTGAAACTTAAATTCAGTTTAATTAAAATAAATATCGAAAATTTTTAATAAGCAGTTCTGGTTAGGTAAATATCTGCGGTAGGCGAGGGCTAAATCTGACAAAAATGATGCATTTGTAAAAGACCCTTCAAGGGATATTGGCTTGTAGGGATTTCACACCGAGGAAAACCATGAAAATCTCATGTAGCCAGTTTGCAGGCAAAAGAACTGAACGAACTGCCAGAGTTTAGCCATTCTTCTACTGGTAGAACGAAGTCTGACGCAAGATAAAAATTAAATTGAAACTTGGATAAAGGTAGGAGGCATTACACAATAAATCTTAATAGTTTTCAAAAATGTTCTTCCCACCTTTTCTGGGGATTACGTCCTTTGTTTTATTATAAGGAAGTTATTTTATTATTAACACTTTTTAAAACTAAAGTTATTAACAGACTATGCGCTATTATGTTAAATGTATAAAAAATGATACAACCATGCTAATACAAAAAAATACGATATATAAATAATACAAGATATATTTATTTTTACCATAAACATTACTTACCACATCGAGCTTTCTGGACTTCTTCATTTCTCGTCTCTGTTTCCATTTAATTCGTATAATAAATTAATTCTTTATTTTTTTGTTCAAAGTTACCTGTAAAATAAACTCAGTTTAAGCAAACTGTTACAGTACCTAATTATTGATAATGACATAATATAGAAAGAATATTATTATGAAAAACATGTATATATGCAATATGATGAAGACAAATTTAGAGAAGTACTGATGTAGGAATACTGAGATGCAGAAACAGAAATACCGATGGCGAAGCACTTATTGGATTATTGGCACTTACTAGATTATTGAAAAGGGAGAATTCTGACTGCGTAAAATGCTAGTCCACGATGAACAGGAAACTTGGCAGTCGAAGCAGAATAAATTCCATTTTTAAATTCACATTTGTAGCCACATTTCACTTGGCACTCTAGTCGTGCCTTTGACTATTTTATTTCTGATTTAGCCCAAACGGGAAATAGCCCTTAACCATCATTCCCATAACAGGGTTCATTTTCCACTCCTTCATATAAACGCAAAGGAGGCTGAGTATAGTCAGCAATAAATGTTTTTAAAGTTAGGTACGTTGGAAAGTGCATCTATCTACTTTCAGTTTTTTAGAAGGTGGTGTTTTACAGCGAAATTAATGTGGATTTCTAATATGGAAATGTCGTAAGATTCGACAGTTTAATTTTGAAAAAGGTGGAAGTGAAACACAGCTATTTCACATCTTCGAAGTTATGATAAAATATTATTGATGGTTATTATTTTTGAAAAAAGATAATAAGCTGCCCTTTGGCATATCTTGAAAATGTGTAAAATGAGGCCAAAAGCTTCTAAAATAATACAAAATAAAACTAAAAAGAAAATATTTATGCAGTATTGTTTTGGTATATATAATCATATCTCAACAAGATAAATCATGATAAAAATGCGTTATGTCGCTGAAAGCAGCGAGTTTACGTTCTCTTGTTTACAGAAGAGGTGTAAAAATACACACTTTGTTATAAGTGAATTCAGGAGATATTTTCGGACTAGACTGAATAGGGAATAAAATTATTGAATCTCTCCCTCTAGGTCTTTAATGGGAACAAAGCTGTTGAGGGGGTTGTTTTGGGAAAGGGCTAAATTAGCACGAAGCCATTCCTTATTACTTACATTAGATATTGTTGTAGATAAACATAACTTTTAAGAACACTGATATTAGCTAACCACAGCTGTTAACCCCCATTTTAATTATTGCACTTAACAGTGGACACCCTTGTTTTATGCTGATGATTTGAGATAATTTTGCCAGTATTCCTCAACGAAGATACTTTACTTTTGTTTTCCATCGGCCCTGTGAATTCTTTCCCATATAATTGGAAATGGACTGTATAAACATATAAAAGAGAATCAGTGTCTCTATAACGAGATTTTCTTTATACTGTTACGTTTGGCACTGAAGAAACCTTGAATACGGCATATGTGGGACATCTGCCTAAAGACAGATGATTTCCCGAAGGAATTTTTAAAGGAATTAAATGTTGAATTAGTTAAGCTATTAAACATAGGTTAGCAGTATTATAAGATAATTACTTAATATACTATATAAGTAACCCATGAAACATTAAATATTTAAATTATTACCATTTCCTTTATTGAATCATTTTAATTAACAAAAGTTTTGACGGATTTTGCTTGTACGTTGAATGAATGTATCCGAGATCGCAGTCCACACTACTAAATACCCGAAAAAAGTTCATGCACACTTTCCCGAGTTCATCACTAGACTTCAGGAGAACGAGTTTGAGACATTCAAGCTACCAACCAAAAGCCAGTTCTTAAGAATTAGCAAATCGAACTTAAAACCAAATAAGCAACGTATAAAAGTCCTCTACTAAAATACTATCATATTTTATATGAAATGATGCTCTGCATAAATTTCTAAAAACCGATGCTTTTCAATAATATATGATTCAAATGAATGATTAATTCTTAAAGCAAAGATCAATAATATTTTGCACTATGGACACAGTATTCACTATAATCACATCAGGCAATTAATATGCAAGAATTAATACTACACCTCTCTTTCTGAATAAGATATTTCTTGCGATAAGGCGCGATTCATTCAATATTGGGATTTGCTTGTTCCCTTAACATGAAAAAAAGCCTGTTTCTATTACAAAGTCCTTCGCAAAACAGTTCCCTCCCGCAGTTATCTATCTGATCAAATGTATCTAGGGTACGCCTGAATAGCAGAAGTTCAAAACTGCATGAAATCAACTGAAATCTGTTCTGGATTATGGCAAAATATACAGTGGCTGTTTGCCTAAGCAAAGGGATGCCTTTGTGGAGGACTTCTAAAAAAATAAAAAACTGGTATTCACGTTACCATGGGCAAAAACATGAAAAAGCCAGCTACTTCTCCGGTATTTGAACCGAAGTCGAACTGCAATATTCAGCGATTTTATCGCTTGGCAAATGGTGGATTGAATCAGCTAAAGATTTTTGAAAGAATCCACAGTGTTTCTGGATGCAAGTTAAAAATAATAAAGTCTCAAGAACTGTGAAATTTGGATTTTAAAGGGGAACATACACATATAAGAAATACACTTCTGCAGTTATTATCAAGCTCCGGCTAGCATGGTATAAAGCTAGACGTCATAGGAACATTGAAAAATGGCGCCATGTTGTATGTAGAGATGAATCCTGGTACAGAGGCTTATCCTAATATTTCAGATAATCTGCTACACTACAGCATTTGCCTATACTGTGGCAACATTGACGTACAACCTTTTCTATTTCAATTTGATGGGCTCTAACTCTTATTTAACTCTTATTCATATTTAGCGCATGCTATTAACAAGTAATCTTTTTGGTAAAGATTTTTTTAAAATCGGCAGCCACCTCAGAACCTCGAATTTATAGACTAGATGATGAACCAGGCCGCATTGTCTAAAATCCCCGATAATACCTGATCATCTGCAAGAATGGAAGAGGCATTCCAGCGTCAGTATGTGAAAATCTAAATACCTCTTCTAATAGTGAGACTTCTACCGTCGCAGCCAAAGGCGTTTCAATGCCATTTAATGCTCTACCAACAGGCATGCGTACGAATCACAATTATTTTACAAATAACCAGATTACTTTACCTTAATTAATGAACCCATCGATCGACCAACCATTCAGTCGCACATTTCATATAGTTATCATCTACTGAAGACTTAAATCCACTACTGCGTATACAAAACAAAACCGCCTACTAATTTTTCTTTATATTCAGTTCTTTTCTTAGGGTGCCCATTAACGGCCGCGCCATAAAATCGCTGAATATGGTAGTATGATCTGGGTTCTTTCCAGGCAAACGGGCTGGCTTCGTGGGAAAAACCACGGAAACGCCCATGCAACAAGCCCGTGGATGTGCAACGTGGATACGAGCCATTTTCCTTAGAAAGTTCTACCCGAAAGCATCTCTAATAGCCTAGTGTGCTTTGCCATAACCAAATCAAACCAACCTTTCCTTAGGCGAATTCATATTACGTCGTTTTTATTCTTAATTTTTTTATAGGTACTTTTGCGTTCCTCCAGAACTTGCTAGCTGTATGGCATTTTATTTCAGGAATTTCTATTCTCACGAATAAAGGAGTCCCACTATAACAACTTCACAGGAAGTTAGCAACGATACTGAATAAGACGATAAAAAAGTTTGAAAGTTAACAAATATTTGGAAAAAACTAAATACGCAACGAAAATTATTGCTTTAATGAAGAATTCTATAAGACGCAATAGAGTTTTATGATGGATTAGATACTGAAAAGCAAATTTTAAATCAACAGAAAATTCAATGAAAGCGAAAAGCAGGAAGTATATCCAAGAACGTCTAAACCCAGGGCTTCTAAACCTTTTTTGCCCCATGCACCCCTTTCACTATTGCTAGAAAATCATGCTCCTTTCTGTTCTCAAACTCGAAAAATAAATATACATGTTTATTTATTATTAGATTCATTTTATCGTCTTTTATAAGTCAAATAACATGAAATGTAGAAAATGTAATTAATAATAAAGTAGGTTTTTACCTTCATAAAATAAAACTAAATACTTATCAAATGAACAAAAAGCTGTTCACATTTCCCCTTTGAGACTAGGGAATTCTCCCTGGATGAAAACCTTTGGTCTACAGGCGAAACATTGCATCCTAAACTAAAACGTTTCGGTTCGATTTTCCTTCCTAATTATTGATACGATACTAGACTCGTTAAAGAAAAGGCTTAAGTTAAATTATAATAAGTTTTTCTTTTTATACGACTTGCATGAAATTAATGTTTATAGCAATAAACTTCGATGTAATTGTAAAGCATTAGAATCACTATTTATCAGCCTCCTAGAGATATAAATTATCCAACTTTTATCTAAAGTATATTTACGGCTATCCCTTGGAGAAAATGGACGATTTTTGGCGGTACATGGATACAGAGTTTGTGCAATTCTTTGACTTGTTATTTTGGCTTTGTGTAGCGGCGATTTTAGCGCCAAAATTCGCCGCTACACAAAGACAAAATAACAAGTCAAAGAACTGCACAAAGTCGGTATCCATGTTTACATTGACCTATTTTTATTTGAAGAAAAATCACAGAATTGCACAAAATAGGCATTGCGCACTCCCTTGACTTTATATATGTGCACGTCGACCTATTTTCACTTAAAAAAAATTCAAAGAATTGCACAAAGTTGGCATTCGCACTCCTTTAACTTTGTCCATGTACACATCGATATATTTTCACTTAAAAGTCAAAGGAGCACCCAATCCTAGGTAAAAGTACATGTACGGAACATTAAAAAAACTACTCAGGTTACCATAAATGAAACGACAACTTCGCGATAATACAAAGGGTACCCTTCAGTTTACTCTGACTCAACTTTATATAAAGAAACATGCCTATTTATAAATCTATATATAGCTGAAAAATATTCACAACAGTTTGAGAGCCTTTTGAATGATTTTTTTTTTTTTTAATTTAGTAACTTTAACATTATTAACATTTCTGCAAGTGTGCTAGCGGTAAACGCAGATTTTTGCATTTTATGAATAACAAAAAATTGCTTTTAATAAGTATTTAGCCAATTTAAGCATTATTAAAAAATGCGTTTATGTAACGAAATAAATATTCTTGAAATTGTTAGAGATTTTCAGGTACCAAAATATTAAGTTATTAAATACTAATAAAGACTACAGAAATACCCCTTTGCTGTTTTCCCTAAAATTTCATCTCGCATTCCAGGTAGGAAACGCTTTCTAAAGCATCTGTTAATATTTACAATATCCAGCGGTTTTAACTCCCGGTTATTAACAGTCTAAATGATAAACATTATAATATGACAGAAGTTAAGGACATTTCAGAAATAAGATTTCGCACTTAGAACTGTAGGGCAAAAACACCTCTGAGTTAGAGAGTAAATTTGCTAAAAGGAGAGTCTCGAAACGCACAATTCTGTCTTTTGTTACTGGAAGAGTCATCGAATTAATGAAATAAATAACCACAACAGTTTCAAAAGACCATTATTGCTAATTTGTCTGCAAATGAAATCACTTTAATAAAAGCTTAATTAAAATTTTTAAATTTCAATTTATTATAGCTTAATATCCTGAAAATTTAAGATTGCTTTTATTTAAAATTCGTTGAAAAGCCAATAAATAAGACAAGCATGTTCAGTAGTAATAGAAGCACTGGCACGTAAATTTAAGTCAATTAAAAATATTTGATTATTTACAACATGATATAAATATTTTATAAACTAAACTCGTTACTTGGCCGTAAGACGTCCGGTGATGTCAATTGCAGTAACAGTTTAGATACCTCTTGCGAGTGAATTTTCTAAAACAGAATATATGTATACTGAAGTAAATCAGAACACTAATGCGGCGAAAGTATGTATTAGATACTGAGTGGTAAGCACTTGTGCTTTCGAAAAAGCTCATTCATATACCATCTGCCCTTACAATACAGTTGCGTTCTTTGCTGCAGCTGCTTAGTTCAGAAACCTAACTGTTGATTTGCTTATTGGAATGCTGGTATAAAAGCTTTCACCAATCGGATTTAGGAATTTAAGTCATGACATTTTGATTTCATTTCCAGAGAGGTATGTGAAAATTAATGTAAATTAAGTATGCATGACAAGTTCGTTAAGGAAATTACAATATTTTTTTCATTTAATTGTCGATATAGACTTTAGATACTAACACGGTTGTATTGTATTTAACGTATCTCGCTTTATAAGCAAATAACTGCGGGATCATTCTTTCTACATGCCAAATTAAAATTGAAAATTACAAATCTTCAAATTAGTGTCCATTTGTACAGTTAATGCATTATTCAACAAGCTTAAATTACATGTTAAATCTTAAAAATACTTTGTTTTCTTAATATATAGTTAAATAATTTTAAGATTTCATAATTTGATTTTAAAAATGATTGTTTAAAAGGCATCTCTTCATATAAAATAAATTTTCTTGTGAATGGATTAATAACTAGCCTTATTTAAATATTTTGATGATAGAAACTTTTATAGCTTCTAAAACTTCGTCAAAAGTTTGGCTGTAACATTACTTAAGCCCCCAGCAATTTATTATCCATGAGACCTACTTAATGTTGCCTCTACACCAGGCACAAGATCTTTGATTCTTCTTTCCCGCCGTCTGGCTGTCTAATCAAAATTCAACGTATTATAGTTCGGTGTTCCCTAACGTCTTCATCTTTCAGTTTATAACTGCAACTGCTTTACAAAAAGCAGTAAATGTATTTTTTTAATAATTTTTACTTTATTTTACACAACATGTCTGCTATAATTTATAAATACATTAAATTAAAAATATATTCAAATAATTTTTATGAACCTTTTCATCGGCCTTATAATTAAAAAAAAAAAAAAAAAAAAATGGTACTTACTAACGCAGCCACCTTGACGCAGTTTGGCAATTTTTTCAGATAAAATGGTAAAACTACTTATTGGGTGCAAGTTGGTTTTCGCGCCTTTTTTTAGAAAGATTTCCAAATTGTGGATATTTATCGTAAGTCGGTAAATGTTATCAACATATGAAAAAGAAAATATACGTTAGCCATTTGAAATACAAATTTGCATTATTGAACAAAAATTACGTGACACATTAAAAAATAAATAACTACATTCTTCTTCAATCTTTCTGCAACTGTTTTGCGCTGTTCTCCGGAAGTACAAAGCGATCAGTTTCCGTTTAAAAAAATACCAGAGAATTGCGGAGACATGGCTTCGTGCAACACTCCGCAACAGCGGCTATCTAGGAAACGCATTTCCTCGTTGTTCCTTTTGAAAAATATTCAACAAAATTCTGTATTCTTGCAGAAATTTTACCGCGGTTTCTTCCATTGCTGGTAAATTCCACATGTTTATATTTTAAAACTAAGTTTAAAGCAAAAAGTACCACGGTATTTTTATAAAAAAGCGTTTGAACTAACGCTTTTTATAAACAATAACAAAAAAAAAAAAAAAAAAAAAGACGCATACGAAAATGGCGGCTTTGCTTGTGTAAAGGATTGTTATGAGGATGGTTGCCAGAGTTGGGCACATTCTGAAAATTTGGCGACATCCACTCAGGTGGTTGCGTTAATCCGTAAGTACCAAAAATATTTTAACACTTCTTGTTACGTACTTCTGTACAGAATATTTATATTACAGTTTCAGAAAAAGTTAACAATATTTGTAACCAAATATCGAAACTACTCTTATATGCGCCCTCACGTCGCCAAACATTTTTGGCGAGAAACTCTAGTGCCATATTACTATTTAAATTTTTTGTCTACATTTCGAACTTTAAGCCTAAAATGTCTCCAAAAAGGCGGTTTTCGCACATGCAAAAAACACGTTCTGAATTACGCACAATTTAAGCTAAAAATCCGAAACAAAAACAAAAAATTTAGATAGCAAAAACGTAAAGTTTCTAACCAAACATATTTGACAAGAATACATGTACACAGCGATATGTTTTAACTTAAAAAAATCTACGAGTTGCACAATCGAGGCAGCGAAAGAATCTGCGAACTACGCACACCTCGTTTTAATAAAAATTAACATAATAATAAATTTCAAAGAATACCATGTACACAGTATTCTGTTTAAACTTTAAAATAATATTTACGAATTGCACAATCTAGTCATTGCGCACAAATCAACAAAATAAACTAAAATAAATTACAAACAATTCAAATAACAACAGAAAGTCATAGTAAAAAACAATTAACATAACATTCTACAAAATAAAAACAATAAAATAAAATGCACTTACCATAATACATACGTGAATAAAATTTCACCAGTCACACAGCAAAACAAAAGTGCTGTCAACAAAAGTGCCACGATTTTGCTATATCACATGTCTTTCTGTGATAAACTCCTCTGACAGCCACATACTTTACCAGCAACCATTTGATTATAAACCCACACAAGTCTATCAAAAACACCATTCTTCGTCCGAGTTCTCATATCAGCTCCGCATTTCGGACACGCCAAACTCCGTTTTAAATGTCCTGACTCCCACAGAAATTCCACTATGCACTTCTGTCCGCATAAACACACCCGTGAACAAAAGACTCGTTAACAACTCCAACACCGTACTTCTTAATACTAAATTTACTTTGTACACAATCTAAAATACGCGACTGAAATCTCGCCACCACGTCTTTAAGTTTCAACGTCAAAAGGGTTGCCATACAAACAGCATCGTTCACCAAACCATCCCACACACGGAATCCCGCCAAAAACCAGCGCAGAACACATATCGCCACATTTGGTGATCTTACGGCGCATATAAGAGTAGAGCCTAAATATCTATTTGGCATTTTTGAAAATTCTATTCGTTAAGAGTTTTTTAGCAAATAAAAATATTGCATTTCTGTGTCTAATAAGGTTTTGGGGAGGAAGGAGAAAAGAAAGTAAAAGTAATTTCTTAAATTTACTATAATTCTTAACTTTGAATTAATCATAACTTTTTGACACATTCAAGTAAAATTATCTACTCAAAATAAATACTTCTTGCGTATAGAAAACATCATATGTTGAAAAGTTATATCAGTGGGTTTAAAGATAACATTATGCAAAATGTGTTATCTTTGTTTTCTACATAAACAAAAAATCAGTCCTTTCCTTTTTAGATATTGAGCTAACGATAACAACTGTGGGTTGTTTCTCTTCGCTGTCATTTTTTATATCTTTACCTTATCTGTAATCTATTTTTACAATATGCAAGTTGGATGAAAATTTCTTTAAAAAATTTTGAGTCGTGAAACGTAAACATCTGTTATAAGAAACAAATACTTCATTTTCTACCCCAACATAATTTGGTTTCATAATTAAAGCAATCATTGGTTAAATTTGATATTAAGTTCTTACGGGGAATGTTATTTTCATAAAGATTTCATAACAAGTTTTAATACAGTGCAATGAAAATCTAATTTTATTTTCGTATTATCATTTCTAATCTAGCTTAGTAAAAATAGCACAAATTTGTAAAAAGACATTAATTTAAGAATTTACTATGCTTTCATGGTTCAACATCCTGATTCGCCAGTTCATATCACGTGACCCCAAGTGATTTCATCTCACGTTAACTACGCTACAAAAATCTAATTATCTCAGTAATTATCTACATTAATTTCAAGTTAAATTTTAATTTGGAAGACAAGTTTAAATGCAAGAATTATTTCAATTCGTACGAATAGCTTACTCAGAAATTATGTAAAACCGTAGTGCTTTACTTCGCTAGTGCATTCTCATTAGAATGGATAAATTTAACCCTTGAGTTTGCCTTTTCTATATTTTCGCTTTCGGGTAAACGGTGTGATTACATTCTAATTGACTTAATTTCCGCGAATCGGCTTAGGCATAAAATTTAACTATCTTGTAAAAATTCTATGTAATTGTATGCCAGTATTGAAAGAAACAATCAATCTGCTAAGAAATGGTTGCGACTTGTTTTGAAAATGAGGCGTAAAAGGTTACCAGCGAAGATATTCCGTTTGGTATCAGTGCCATTATCGGCGACTTTATCGTTTGCGCCAGCAAAACGGAAAAGTACCCAAATATTTACTAAATATATTTGTAGGGGTAGAACGCCCGTACAGAAAGTTAGATTTCGTACTTTCTATTCAACTGATTTTTTTAATTTAAAAATACCCAAAGATGAATACTTGCGTCATTTAAAGCTGTTTGTAACTGGAAGTCGTTGCCAAAATCCTTGACCACCATACAAGGGACAGCCCGACTTTAGCTCTTCCACACCCAATTTTGAGAGAGAACACCCCGGGAGGACGGGTCCGATGGTCTCCCATCCCTCTTTCCCTACCATCAACTTCTCGGCAGGCCTTTCGCCTAGCTGCATATTTAGAGTTCTCCCCATGGAGCACAGACACTATACATACAGAAACGCCCATGCCTTCTCCAAGATTTGAACCCGGGCCCCTCGGTAGTTAGAGTCCCTAACCACTATTCCCGCTGGAAGGATAAGTTTTAATTATTAAATAAGTATAAAGCGATATATTAAAAAATAAAACGCATTTTTCTCCAAAACTTTCTGCAATTTTTTGTGCTATTCTTATCTCTAAGTACACAGCGATCTTTTTACATCTAAAAGAAATCGGAGAATTGCAGAGATACGGTATCGCGCAAACTCCGTTAACATTGGTTACTTACCAAATGCATGTCCTCATTCTTCCCTTTAGAGCAGAGGTACCGGCGTACCGGCGGTACGCAAGAGAAAAATAGGTGGTACGCAAAGAAGCAAAGTATTTTTAACTATTAAATTCAAAAATTAAAACCCCAACATCCTGACTGAGTTTTTTCTCTAACACTCGCAAAATTATACGATCTGAGCTTTGTTCAAGAGGGGTGGTGGTGGTGATAGTAGTACTTTGTAGTGGTGGTATTAAATGTTTTCAGTTTTTGTTCAGGTGGTACGCGTTAGTCAAAAGGTTGATAGCCGCTGCTTTGGAGACTTTGCGTCAAAATTCTATACGTTTGTAGAAATTTTAATGCAGTTTCTTCCATTGCTAGCAAACTTCTTAAGCGCAAGTTTTAAAATTAAGTTTAAGAGATAAAATATCACGATTTGTTTTTGTAATAAAACAAAAAGAACATATGCGAAAATGGCGACATTGCATGCCTGAAGGATTTGTTCTAAGCATGTTTGCTTGACGAATCGCTATGGGCCTGATTGTCGGAGTTTGGCACATTCTAAAAACTTGACGAGTTCTGCTAAGGTGGTTGTGATATAAGTACCTTTTAATTTAATGTCCTGAGTTCTGAAATTCAATTTTTGGCATACGGGCAGGGTATCTAAAGGAGTATCTTAAGACACAATAAGAGAATTTTCTTTCAAACCGTCTAAATTTAGTTCAAGAAATGTCCTCCATTCTGGGTTCTTGGAGGATAGGTGTTGGACTTCACAGTTTTGTTTAGTTTTCAATTTTTAGCTGAGTATGTACGCACCTATACATACACTAAAAAAAAGGCACAGTTCTATATCTCCCCGTTCTTCTGGACCGATTGACAAAATTCAACTTGCGTTTTTCATATTTCCTTAGGATATGTATTAGATTTATATGTAGCATTATTCTAATATAAGTAATTTGACACAAAATAAGACGTTTTTTGAAATGACATACCAATTATTTTCTATATTTCGATTCTACGACTCAAATTATGCCAAACTGCCAAGTTTTGGAAAAATTTCACGAGTAGTTTTTAAAAAATTAGCTCTCAAAATTTTAGCTCCTCAATGTTAATTGAATTTGATGTATATTTATTAATATCTCTCTTGTTTTTTTTTTAAAACTTACTTGATTCCTTCTTCCAGAATTCGAAATTTAGGTTCACTCCAAATAAATTCGCCCATTTTTTATGATTTATATTTAAAATTTGTACTTTTAAATAATTTTTATAAATTTTTGGAAAACAATTTTGAATTTTGAGAAAACAATTTTGAAACCTATGAAAGTTTTACAGTCATCTTAAAATAGATGTATTTTTAAGCATACTTGTAAAAAATTAGAGATTTTTAGTCAAAATGTCCTAACATATACGTGAATTTAGATACATATTGGCGTGTTTTGAAATTTGGTATATTTGTTATAAGCGATAATGACGCCAAAATGTGGTTTACACACTTGAAGTATAAACGGCGACTTTTTTACGCTCACATACAATGGGAAAAGAGAAAGGAAAATAGGTTGCTATAAATTAAAGAGTTCGCCAAGTGAACCTTTCTTGGCCCAAACTGAAAAAACTGCGGCAAAATAAATTTTTAAATTTCTACCTAAAAATTACAAAATTTAATATTTAGACGTAATTTGAGTCGTAGAGCCGAAATATGGAAAAAAATTGGCATGTCATTTCAGAAAAAGTCCAATTTTGTGTCAAAATACCTACATTAGAACAATGCTGTATATAAATCTAATATATATCCTAAGTTGCACTTTTGAGACATGAAAAACGCAATTTGAATTTCGTCAATCAGCCCAGTGGAATGGAAGATATAGAACTGTCCCATTTTTTTTTATTTTGCACAGTGTACCTCTTTTGAGGGAGCGGTGTATATCTTGTCATTTGCTACATTCATAGAAGAACCTCTATCGGTCTAAGACTCTACTTTTAATTGAATGCCCCCGTACATTTATTGATTTAGAGTGAAATGAATTTGAACTCGGACCTTCATAACCTGACGACGTCCACTATAATAGGAAGCAAACAAAGTCGATCACTTATCACTTCCTCTTAATACTTCTATTATTATCTCTTTAATCGTTAACTCGTATGCTCCATAACAATGTATTTAATTTTCTTTTTACAATTATTAAATAATTCATATAGGAATTTCAAATATATTATCTAGAAATAAAAAGTATTCATATCGTATATTTGATTAAAACTACACATGTTAAATACCTATGAAGTCAGAATGATTGTTTTTATGATAACAATTGACATATACGTGAATATATGAGTGAATGTAAGTGTACACTTCAATTTCCTTCAGGATTTAATTAAAAAAGTATAAGTTATTATTTAACAGCATTTAGTAAAACAGATAGTCTATTTTAAGCAATTATTGAATTTTTTCTTTCAGTGAGCTGCACTTCCGAATTTATAAGTGATAGTGTTAGTGTATAATTTCGTTTCCGGTAACCAAACATACGCTTTTCATTTGTTTTCGCTTTAAACAGTTCCGAAAATATAAACAAATTTAAAGCAAAATCTAGCAGTTAATAAGTAAAATTATCTTTTTATACAGTAATCTAACATTCTGGAACTAACAAATCACATTATTTTTTTTTAACACTTACCCATATACGGAATTAAGATCTGCGTTCTCCTTTTACGTATAATTTAAATTAAATAAAAATATGGAAGCTTTCAGATTTTATGTAGCTCCTAAAGAGGCGTTTTTTCT